AACCCCTGGAGGCCATCCGGTCCAAGCCCCTGCTCAAACAAGGACTGGTTTTGAAATTAGGTTGACTTTCTCAGGGCATTTTCCAGTTGAGTTTTCAGTATCTCCAAGGATGGCGAGTTCACCTCTTTCTGGGTCTCTGCTCCGGTGGCCCAGCAGTTTAACTGTGAAATAATTTTATTCTTATGTATATCAGCATGGATATTTCTCTTCCTCCAATATGGCTTATTTGTAATAATGCTGGTTCTTCTATTTTTCTTTAAAGAACATGAGATTCTAAATGTGTCTGTGTTTTACCCCAAGGATCCTTAAACAAAGTGAGATTGTACTTGATATTGCTTTCTTGTCTGCTTCGTGCCCTAGTAGAGAAATGAGGGACACTGTTTTAAAGACTAAATATAGCTATTGAAAAACATTGTCAGCTTCTTTCTTGATGCCTGTCAGGAAAGATAAAACCATGGCTTGATGTACATAAACACTGTCTGCAGTTTCTCCAGACCCAGAGATATACAGGTTCAAAACCCAGTATTTCAGCCATTCATATTTTATACTTGAGCAGCATGAACAGCCCCTGCAGCACATATTGCTAGGATTGCAATACTCTGCTCTAGTTGAAGAGGCAAACCACAGTCTGTGTGGTGTCTTAGCAGGTACTGGTGATACCAACACAGAGACAAAGCGAAGCCGTTCTGTATGAAAACAGCATCAAACAGAATGACCCAATCTGTTGGGCTGGGAATGCCCTGAAGAAGTGGCTGACATCCCAGGCCTGCCTCCTTGGGCAGCACGATGTCTGTCGTGGATTGGTTGTGCACAACTCTAGTTTTAGCAGCAACTGAAGGGTTTATTAATGCTTTTGTGGCAAATCATAAGGTGTACGATACTTAGTAGCAGTTAATCAGAACTTAAACACCAGCCAATTTAATGTAACGACTCAACCGATTACAGCAACTTAATTGAAAGTTTGAGAATGGCAAGGTTCACCTAAAACATTCATTCAGGGTATTCCAAGGAGAGGTTTCCAAACTCAGCCACATGTACCTTCACCTCAGAGAATGACTCAGCCGCCAATTCATCAACTCTCAGCAGACAATGGGATCCATCCCAGAATGGTCTCTTCTTCTTCTTCAGTGCTGATCTCGAAAGAAAAGCTTATCCTGAGAGATGTTCCAGCTCAGGGGGAGAGCAAAGGACCATAGCCAACTGCAGTCCCTACAGGAGCTCTTTGCTTAGGACATTTGTTTATAGGACCTTGAGATACTTGATTTTAGTCAGAAAACTTTGTGTTCTCACCACAATCCAGATGAGGCAATCCCAGAACTTTCTCCCAGCCATATGGTTTCAGTGTTTCTGTTAACTCTCAGATCACAGAATCATAGAGTCACAGACATAGAATGGCTTAGGTTAGAAGGGACCTTAAAGCCCACCTTGTGCCATGGGCTGATTGCCCCCCACCAGCTCAGGCCACCCAGGGCCCCATCCAGCACCCACAGCTCTCTGGGCAGCACTGCTAGGGCCTCATTGCCTTCCAGGATCAGGTCACAATTCAAAGAGCAGGGGTTCCAGCAGTGGTCAGCAAGTGCCTGACTGCCCTGACTCACTGCACCTGTACGAAGGCAAATGCATAACGAGGGTTTACGCTAAAATCTCAGCACCCCAGGGAGACTTCAATGCCATGGTGTTCTCCCATCTTGGGGCACTCCCTGTCCCCCTGAGCACCTCAGGATCTCTCTCAAATACTCCCTCTGAAAGGAGGATCCAGTGTAGGCCAGTCTACTTGATCAAAGTGGCAATAGCTGTTAGGAGTACAGCACCAAAGGGACTCCTTTTTGAGCAAATAAGCACCTATAATATAAGCAGAAGTTTTTTGTTTTTTTTTTCTCGGGAAAACATTGATAAGGTCAATCATTTGGAAGGCAACTGGGTGAGCAAAAAGCAAGGCTTAGCCATGAGGTGGCACTCTGAGCATGCTGTTTGGCTGAGATGTCATTCAGAATGTTCCTGAGAGGGAGGAAATTCCTTCAATTCAATGACATGACATAAGCGTCACGAGCTGTGATTCATTTCAGGTTTACACCCTTTGTTTCTTTCTGCAAAATTAATCATCCAGCTTTATTTGTTGCATTGCTTTAAAACACAGGAGTTCTAGGAACAGAAGCACTGCAACTCCATGTTTTTGTCATTTTTCATCATATTCATCACTTGGCTTTATATTTTTGCCGAAGAAGACCAATTCCACTAGTTGTTCTCTGTAGCAAAGTGGCATACCTTGGCACCTGTTCTGACTTTGTTTCTGTCTTTGTTTTCATCTCCCACCACCAAGCAGATCTCAGAATAGGAACCTGATTTAATGGACTCCAGGTTTTCTACATAAACCCCTTCTTAACCTTTTCAGCCATTTAACTGTATTTGCAGTCTCCTCTATTGTTCCGCATGAGGTTTCACTTGGGAAGGATTTCACCTGAGACCTTTTTCTTAGGATTATACTTCTAGACAAAATGTAATATTTAAAGAACCTTTCCTGTTAGTCCCCTTGGTTTATTTTCTTATTATTACTAATTTTTTTTTCCTCTTTTTTGCATTACAGAGCCTTCTACTCCAGTAACAACCAACAGTTTATTAGCATGTTGGCTGCACGTTATTGCTTCTCCAGGAAGAATTGCAGTGAGGGTAATTGAAGGGTGAAACGAAAGGCTTTGTGATTAGCACTGCAGAGCAGCACTGCAGACTGTAAAATCCCTGTTCTGCTTCCTGCAGCCAGAATTTCCTTACTGGCATCAGTGGAAGAGAGACCAGGCTTTTCAGTGTGTTGGTAAGCACTACTCAACTGCAGAAGAGAAGGCAGCTGAAAGGTTTTAGCATAAAAGTTTCCCTTCCCTCCAGTACATTTTTTTAACCATTTCAACCAACTGACCACTGAAACCAGTCCCAGTGCTCGCAGTCCCAGCTCCCTCCCTGCATCCCTTGACCCTGATGCTCCGTGTATTCCTGCCATTCACCACTCCTGTCCCCGAAGCCCTTAACAATGCAGCGCTTGTTACGAGGAAAAGCATGAGCTCATCCTTTGTAATCAGCCGACTGCATTCGCTGCCATTTCAAAGGAGGTTTTGTGGCAATTTATGAATGCATTCAGCCAAGCCAGCGCTATATAAACTTTGGTTGAATCTTCAGGGAGTAAAAAGGAGTGGATTAAGTTCTCGTGTCTGCTGTAAGAATAGGTTTTGTGAATATGGGGGAGCCCCGGTTGTTCAAATAATACAGTCGTGTTTCTGTCCAAATACAAGATCTCTTAGAGGCTCAGGTTGTGGTGCTCAGGCACCCACATGGCCGGGTAACACAGATAATCCTCTGATCCTCTGACATTCAGGGCTGGAGGGAAACAAAGATGAGAAAATGAGAAATGCAAATGAGTAATTCTGACAGTGTGAAGGAAAGAGTTTGTTGGAGCCCAAGCCTGCCAAAAATAGTGCTAAAGCAACTGCATTTTAGACAAGTGAATTCTAATCACATGTGAACTGCATTTTTTAGATTGGATTCACTGCAGCTTTCAGTTTAGGGACCTGCCTGAGGTCTCTGTGGGTCTACAGTTCCTATAGTTTCTATACTCTCTGCAGTCTTTTCTCCATTTGTGGCAGCTAAGAACAACACCTCACTAACATGATGGGTGCTTCTTAGCTCCTGGGAATTAGGCAGCTGATGCCTTCTGGGTATTAACTATTCCAAAGGGCCTGAAAGATAAAGTAATGGTGCTGTGCTGTAGCCAGGTACCACCAGGAGCAGAAGTAGGCAGCCAGGATGAGTTTTCCCACTGAACACCTGGGTACAACAAAGCAGCTGTGTCTCTGCTTCTGTTCCTTTTTTATATTGCCTCAAATATTAAAGAACAGTCCAACTTCTGGACTTGGAGCATTGCATAACCTAGTTAAGTTATATAATCTACTCAAGGAAACATTCAGCATTGAACTGGAAGGCATCTTCATGGGTTTGCTGTGGGACCTCAGGGGTTTGCTCCACCACATTTCCATTCTTCTCAGCAATTCCAAACGATGGTTTCATGAATTCTTTACAGAGGAGTCACACCACAGTCCACTAATGACATAGGAAGGGCTACAGCTATAGCTTCTCTGGGGTTTCCTACACCGGTCTTGTCTGCATTAGCTGAGCAAATCAAAAGGCATGCTGGCCATTTTTTCCCTTTCTGACATTGGTCTTTGAAACTTCCCTGAGAACAGCCTACAAAAAACACCACGGCTGCAAAGGTCTTCACACTCTTCTAATTTCAATTTCATAATGAGCCTGGCTTTGAAACTAAAAATTAGTAGCTCAGCCTCTCCTCCTAATGCAGTGGGGGCAGCAATCTCTTTACGTAACACGGGGCAATGGCAGAGCTCTGCCAGACGGCAGCGAGCTCAGTGGGGAGAGAAGCCTTCAGATCCGCATCCATTGTTTCCTATACTGACTCATCTGAAGTCATTTTTGTACAATTTCTCATCATTAGATATAACATAATTCTGGTTTTATTTTTTTTCTCCCAGCTGCACAGCTGTCTTTTATAATGCACACAGGTTATATTAAACCGAGCACTAATTGTCACTGCGCCAAGAGGCAGCAGCGCTAGGACTGCAGATGAAACAGAAAACAGAGCTACAGCAAAAAGTACAACAGATTAAACCTCACTCATGACCTTTTAAGTCTTGTGGGTGAGCTCTGAGCTACACACTGAGATAAAGTGGAATTTCCTGGCTTCAGCAGAGAGAAACTCATGTCTTTTTGCTCCAAAGCATAAAGTACTACTGCACAAGAGAAAGGAGAATCATCCTTGCCACATGCCAGGCTGTGGAGTGATTTCTGCTTTTCTTGATAACACTCACAAGCACATATCTGACAGTCAGTCCTTTAGGGTAGATGACATACTCTGTTGCTAACATGCACTCAAGAGCATCAAAATTATTAAATCTTATAGTATCCAAGAAAGTAAATAAGTCCTTGTAATGTTAGCAGCTTACAGGTGGCACAGAGGAACAGAAGGTTGGGGGATTGATGTGTTTCCAGACATCACGAAATGAAGCTCTGCCAGAACTGAGAGGTATCCTCCCTCTGTCTCATGTTTTAATCCTGCGTCTCTTTTTCTTTTCATTAAGATAAAATATTTCCTTAATCCACAACATTGAAGTTGTTTTTTTTTTCAGGTAAGCCCTAAGTCACCAGTATTCTCCCACTTCAGGAAAGCTGAGCGCCATCAGCTAACGGCCATGAATATTTCAGCTGATGTCATTATTATTTCACAATGGTAAATGCTGCAGGGAAGAGCTGGGAGATGGCAGCATGTTTCATTCAGCTGCACCTGAGGGTAGGATGTGCAGAGTCACAGGACTGGGGACAACCTCTCTCTTTCCTAAAGCATCTCCTCGTGTGCAAGGAACGTGTTTGTAGGCAGCTCACACTGCGCTCTTGTGCAGGGACGTCTGCGGCAGGAAGCCCTCCTGTCCCCCTGTGTGTCCCCAGCCACCGCTAGGTGATCTTCCAACCCCTTATTTGCCACCCCATGACTGAAGGGAGGCCCTACACAGCCCACAGAATGTTCCACAGAGATGCTATTCATGAAAATATTCTGTGCTGCTCTGCAGAGCGCAAGCGGCAGTTTTGGGTTTCCTGGGAAGAAAGCCTATTAAGCAGCCTTTCTGGGAGATTGCCATGGCAACCCTCACACAATGCCAGCGGCCCAGATTTGCCTCAGTCCCTTGTTTCTGAGCTGACAGCAGTGATTTTAATGCTCCTTGAACCAAATCTTTGCATGCGGAGAGCGCTTTAGAAAAATGCTTTTAATCAGGGCCGGTTGTTCTCGCTCCTTTATTCAGCTGAAGCGAGCGGGGCCGTCTCTCTTGGGGCTGCAGCTGGGGAAGGGCCACAAAGCAGGCCCAGGTTCTGTGATTTCAGTATCCTTCCGTGATGGAGACCCCCTGTACTCGGGTTTGTTTGCACAGGGGATGATTTTCATGGCCTGAAGCCATAAGCAGGGCTGGCTTGTGGCACAGGCTGGTGACATGGGAGATGGGGAGGCAGAGCCAGCAGCTGAGGGCACAGCTCAGAACTGCTCCCCTGAGTGGGTGAAGCCATTCGCCGTCTGACCTGGGCACGTGGTGCTCCGGGCTGCCAGAGAGCCAGCATATGGGCTGGGAGTTGGACACAGCTCACTGCGGATAGGAAATATAAACCAATGTGTCTGACAAACATGACCCAACCCCTACAGCAAGGAATCCCCATCCAGGGCTGTGGGTCCCTGGCAGGCCCTGGAGGGACTAGGTCAAATGTTTTATTAGTCCCAGGGGCTTGGATTGAAAAGGCTGTACATTGAGCCCAGAGTGCTGTGCCCTTGATCACCAACACGTGCACCTCCTGCAAGGGGAAGTAAATCAGAGCTCCACGTGCCATGTGTTCCTGTTGCTTTGTCACGTCTGCTGAGGGCCAGACACCAGCCCCCTCACTGCTGCATGTGGCTCACTGTATGCATTGGCAGCACTCCTCGGATGAATGGCTGTGTGCTGCGAGCATCCGGCCTGTAAACAACATGCCAAGGGGAGCACTGAGCGCTTCCGTCTGTGCAAACACTGGGAAGAGGGAGCTCCTGAGTCACTGCACCCAGGCCTGGGCCGGCTCAGGTAACCCCATGAACTGATCCTCCTCGGGTGGAGCTGCCTGAGGATGCCCAAAGCTCTGTGCTGCCACATCCTCATGTGAAATCCTACCCCCGCGAGCGCCTGGGAGAAAGGAGCTCCCTAACACAAGGGCTGATGGCAGAGGTAATGCAGCAGATTCCTTTGAGCTGTAAGAGCATTATATTCCTATGCCATTTGCCTGTGGCCAGAACCCCTTACTAATGCCTCGGCTGGCAGGAAGCCACTGCTGTGTTTATCTGCACTGCATGCAGCTGGTGGCTCCTGACAGGCTGACTTGCTGGAAGACGTGCTCCCACCCCACAGAATTGGTTGGCACACTGTGGAGCAGGGTAAGCAAGCATTATCTGTGTCTATCAAGGCAAAGAGAGAAGCTATAAACTCTAACTTATTGTTTCTTTGCAAAGAGAAGACCCTTTGGGCTTTATCTGGAACAAACATAACCATCAGAAACACAGCAGCCTGTACACAATTACATTTAAGGGCCACCTTGCCACTCTGGGTACCAGGCTGGTCCCAGCCTGACCACGTTGGTTATCTCTGTGCTCACACAGTGCTCCAGGCACTGCAGTGACCGCACGGGCGGGATGCACTGTTGGGTTGTGCTGTTGGAGAGGCTGACCCACTGCCTTCCCTCAGCAGTTTGCAAAGACAAAGGCTGCACAAATATTTGTGTGTGAGGGAAAATAATAAATACAGAATGATGCATTTTGCCTGAGGACTGGTGGCATTTGTTTTACCATGCTATGCTTGTGAATGTTTGTAAACATGGTGGGAATTTACCATACTACAGCAGCAATTGGGATTCATTGATTTTTTAACTGCATGAAAAAACACATTGTGTTTTTTCCTTTCCCTTAAAGGACAGCCTCCTCCCTGCTGGCTTCCGAGGCACTTTGCAGACCATTCCTGCTGAGCTGGAGGCAGAGGAACAAGTTGTGCAGCACCCAGTCCAAAACCCTGCTCCATTCAGAAGCTTCAGATCTGCAGGATGGACTGTGAGCACAGAGGCAGCTGGGAGAGCCTTCAAACCTATGCTGGAGCTTTTGTGTCTTCTTGTGCTGTGAACCAAAGCCTGCAGCCCCACAGACAGGTAAAGCTTCTTAAGTACAAAGCAGGTTAGAAATTCAAGTGGAGAGTGCCCACATGGCACCAGCAGGAGATGGGCAATGAGCCACGGGCTTCCTGCTGCCTTGGAAGGTTTATAATCCACAGTCAGCTCTTGAAATCTCCATCGCTACACCACTGCCCATCCGTGTGCCCCATTACCCTGTGTGCAGCTGTGTTCCTTCCAACCATGTGTGGCTGTGCGTGCACCTAAGGACCACATCTCCTGCCACTTTCTTCTGGAGAGCAGTGGAAAGTCACTCCCTGGTTTAATAATCTTTATTTCTTTCCATCTGGAAAAAATCACAAGTCCAGCAAGTCAGCTTCACAAATATGTGGAAATTGCTCCTGTGGAGGGAGTGTGCCTGCTGCAGTGCAGCCAAGGCACAAGGAGGACCTTGGCCAGGGACCCAAGTACTGATAAACCTCCTTAAGGGCTGAAGGTCAGGTTTGGCAATGCTGAAGGACAGCAAGCTGGATAAAGCCTTTTTTCAGGCATTCCCAGGCTTCCTGTAGCTCAGAATGCTTTTATTAGTTTGAAATGTTGAACATTCCCTTTCCTCAGGCCCAGTTATCCCAGCTGAAGAACCGAGGGCTGGTGCCAAGGTTGGCTGCTGGGTACTGCAGGATAACCTGCAGCATGATGTACCCTCATAAACACTCCTGTAACAGTTGTGAGGGCCTTGTTGAGGCTCACGTTTCTATTGTGGAATAAGGTTTAAGATGCTCTGAGCTTGACTCATCTGGGTGTGCAACATTACTAATAGTTTTTATGTGGCTGAGTCTTCTGGCAAGAAATGGATTTTAACTGCTTGCCTGACCCAACTCAGCCGTACCTGAGATGGGGCTTGCCAAATAACCCTTGGCACTGTGCTAATCCTCCCTCATAAAGTCTAAGCTTCACGTGCAGCTCCCTGCTGCCTCTATTCTTCTGGGTTTATGACACATAGGAGACATGAGATTATTCATTTTATCTATCTCACTTACATACTTAAGAGGTACCATGTAATCTGATGTTCAGGTGGACCCTGGCTTTACCCATAGGTTGGCCCTCAACCCCCTTGGATACATTCCTTGGAGACAACCAATGTCAGGATGGATGGGGTTCTGGGCACCTGATGGAGCTCTAGGTGTCCCTACTCATTGCAGGGGGGTTCTCTCCAACTCAATTCTATAATTACATGAATTTTATCTATATATATATTCCTTTATTTGAGATCTGCAGCATTTTGCCTGACTTCTCCAGTGGAGACATCTCCCTCGCACACAGCTCTCACCTCCAGCCTGCACCCAGAACGGTGATCCAAGCATGTGCTGGGATTCCTGTCCTGTTGGAGCATGCTTCCAGCAAAAACCATGCCTGAGTAAGCTAGTACCCTCCCAAAGCTCCTGCTGCCTGCCAGGATGCTCAGCTCCATGAGAAGGAGGCAGAAACTGTCCCATGAGGGCCCTTTTGATGGTGGAGTCCTGTCTGCAACCTCTTCTGTCACAGCCTCTCCGAGCAGCACTCATCAGGCAACGCTGTCAGATTTGCAGCCAGGCTTCGCTTGCCATTGGAGAAGTGTGGTAATGAATTCCCTTTGGGTCAGCGTCATCTGCCGCAGCAAACTAGACAGATGGAGCCTGAGGGAAGCATTTCCATAATGAAGCAGAGAGGCAGAGTACCTCCGTGGATGGCAGGAGTTCCCCTCTATTAACAACATTCTTAACAAACACTTTTGATAATCCTTTCCCACTAACTGTTCTTCTTAGAAATCTCTTCATTCAATTTTACTGCTTCTCGTTTTAGAGAGCTCCTTGAGCTTTCTTACAGCCCCATTCATGGACTTGCATTGTATTTCAGTCCCTTATGGACTCATTTATTGATCTGCTGCAACTCCAAGTGGGCTATTAACTGTGAAGTTAGTTATCACATATGTGAAACACCAGTGGGAAATGTTAAATGTAGCCCCCTCCATTAAACTCAGTGTGTTCTTCTTTTTCCATCAGAAATGAATGGAAACAAAGATGTGTGTGAGGTACAGCAAAGGGAGCCAGATAAACATAAGAGTGGGAGGAACATGCTAGTGGCTTTCTGGAAATAACTTTCCAATGGCTCCTTTTCTGTCACTTCAAGTCCAAAGGCTAATGCACAACATAAATGGCTTTACTCAGGCAATATTCACACTGTCAGAAGTGTTCATCACAGCATGTTCTTACCTGTGGGCACACGTCCATGTACGTGGTCACGTCCAACTACCAGTGACAAGCCACACCACTGGGACAAGACATCAGGCCTGCTGGCTTTCTTCATGAATCACAGCATCATAGAATCATAGAATTGTTTGAGTTGGAAGAGATCCTTAAAGACCATCTTCCTTTTCAGTGAACACCCACAGCTCCATCAGGTGCTCAGAGCCCTGTCCAGCCCGACCTTGGCTGTCTCCAAGGATGGGGCATCCACCACCTCTCTGGGCAACCTGTGCCCTTATTCTGAAAAACCTCTTCCTTATATCCAGTCTAAATCTCTCCTCTTTTAGTTGGAAACCATTTCCTCTTTTCCTGTCACAACGGACCCTGCTAAATAGCCTGTCCCCTTCTTACCTATTGCTCCCTTTACATACTGAAAGGCCACTCTTATGTCTCCAAAGAATCTTCAGTTCTCCAGAATACAGTCTCAGGAGGCTTCAGGAGCTGAGACGGGCAGAAAAGCAGCAGGTATTGTGAGCACTGATAAAACCAAAGAAGGCAGCAACACTACATTAAATATGGTTTTAGAATTTAATTTTAAAACTCATCTCATTCCATGTCTGCTGCCTTTAGCTAATTTTCTTCCCAAGATAACTCTGCTGTTGCTAAGCCTTCCAGGAGAGAAACTCATGTTCCTAAGGGCCATTACTGTTGACACAGTGGGACTCCAGCTGAAAACTAATGTGATGTGAAAGCTGGGTCTGGAGGACACCCTGGTGCACATTGCTATGCCCCTGACAGCTCGGTCAGAGCACATTCGGTGGAGCTCAGTGCTCAGAATAAGGGTTGCAATTGTGCTGGTGAGGTGGGTGGTGGGAGACGGGCTGTTCCTATGGCATGGGGGAGGGATGAGGGCGAGTGGGCTGAGGAGGAGGGCTGCCTTCACTTTGCTCCCCAGGCACCTAATTGCAGCGGCATACATAGTGATAAGCTGCCGAAATGCCTTTCATCAGTCAAGAAACCCAGCATGTGAAAAAATGCGGTATGTCATTGTCTGCCTGCATAGCTTGCTGCCTGACCTGCCGGCGTGCACACAGGACCCAGACATAAAAGCAAATCCACAACCAGCATGGATGCAGTGAGAGCCCCCACAGCATTGCACTGAGAGAGGAGCAGGGATCAGGTGATGAAAATCAGTTCGCTTCTGACATGCTGCATGCTTCACTTCTCCCTCCCTTGGGCCACAGCTCGTGTGACATGCTGCTCCCAGCTGCACATGGGTGGCTCGGCTGTGAGGAGTACATGTACTGGAGGCCATGAGCATCATGTGTGTTTTAGTTTCCAGATCCAACTCTTGAACATAGAGCATTTATAGGAAACCTGTAGTTTGCTTATTTATTTATCCATCTCTTCCTGTGACTTCCAAGCAACGCTTTAGTTGTCTTTATGCTAATCTGAGCGCTGCTGAATAGAGAGGCCTTTTTCCCCCCATTCTGTCCTGCGAGAGGTCATCTTTATTCAAGAGCTATGAATGATGTGTGCGGGGTACTAATCACACACAAAGAGCCACGTCCGGAGCCAGCCAAGCATACAGCTGTCCCTTTGTTCACAGAGATGGAGATGGAACCTAAAAAACGCTCCTGACCCAGGGACAATAGCAGCGGCTTGTGAGACGCCTGAGATTTGGCAGGGCCTCTCCTTCCTGGTGCTAAAGGGCCTTTATTAAGCATAAATCACATCATCTGCCACCGCAGCCCTTTCTCAGCTTATAAAAGATTCCCCTTTGCTGCCTAAGTGACATGATGGAATGGAATCGCTCTGAAATACCCTGAAGACCGGAGCAAGGGACCAGGTTAGGACAAATGGCACTTCTGGCTGTTTAATAGTAACACTTTACTGTCACCATTACAAAAGTGTTTGCAGCTGGGTTCATTTTTTAAGCTGGGTGGATTCTGTGCTGGATGGAAATGTCAGGAAGCCACCAGAAAGGTTTGATACCTGTGAGTTATGAACGCAGAGCCCAACAAGCTCCGGGATAAACATGTTGCCAGCGCTGATATCACTGAAAAACTCTGATGCCTCAGGCTCCGAGAAAATAAATCAGCGCAGAGCATCTCTGCAAAGAGCATCTCTGTTCAGGGAGTAATTATCAGCCTCCTCTGCTCGGTGATGTAAGATCAGACTGCCACGTTTCCCCAGGAAGTAAATATTCTTCTTTCCCTTGGAAATAAAAGGGCAGCCTGAGCATAAGGAACAGAATTGCCAACAGAAAATGCTTTGCTTCACATAGTGCTGTTGGCAAATCCTGCCCCTCACTACCCAGCTGGTGCTTTTGTGCAAGAGGAGGCCCTGAGATGTGAGAGAGAGCACGGAATGTGGCATCCACAGCAGCTCTGGGGAGGACATGGATGCGTCAGCAGGTTGAGGTCCTCTCAGCACACCAAGCTGGCCAGGAATGACTCAAAGAAACCCCACAGGCTGTAACTCTCTGCATAAATTTTCTGCTTCTCATACAGAAAGGTATCAGCAAAAGCTGGCTCAGATGCCTTGCCCATCCCTCCTCCACCTGCTCATGTTAACCTCTGTGGACATATCCAATTTTACAGCTGTCAGGACAGTTGTCACAGGGAATGTGGTTCTCTCCCACCAGCATCCGTGCCAGCAGGCTGCTGTCTGTGTTCCAGTGCCTCGCAGTTCTCCTGGGCTGGGTGCACCAAGACTGTGCTGCAATTAGCTGAGTGCATTTGCTTTACCTGCTGGAACAGGTAATTCAGTAGCTGGCACTAATTCCCAAATTCAGCATCCATGCAACACTCAGTGACACTTCTGATGATCACCTTGCAGACTCTGTGAAAGCATATTAGTGGCTCTCACAGGCAAGCCTGTCACTGGGTAACAAACAGAGTAATTTTTCATACTCCCAACACATCCTGCAGTTTTTGACAAGGATCCCTGCTGCCTCTCCCAAGGATTCCTATGTAGCTGAGAGCATGAGCCAGTGTCTCACAGCACAGCTCCTGTGCAAAATGAAGCATCACTGAGACCACGTCTTGGCTCTGGTTGTGCCTTCCCTACAGGACTCCAGGGTCAGGTCCCAGTGCTGATAAACAGGCAGGCTTCTTGTTCTGCTTTCACTGTCTGTTTGTAGAAAGCTGAGTTGACTGTTGAGATTTTCCGGATTTATGTTATATTTCTGCATCCTATTAAATTAATTTTGAAATAATTTTAGGGGCATACTTGTTTTTTCCTTAAAGACTTTATCCAGTTTCCAAACATCAAGCAGATTTCAGGTCTGATTTATCCTGCTGCATTCTGGTGCAAAATCTGCAAGCCCATGAAGAGTCATCACCTTCAAAGCAGCGACTCTGACTCTGAACCTGCAGCAATTGGCTGCTGCCAACACACCTGCAGTACGTGAAGGATACACAACTGCAGAATGGGTTGTTTTGCCTTACCCAATGGTTGGAGCTCTTTGTGATCGGTATTTCGCTTTGTGAAGATTTTGGTGAGATTCTGAGTTGTGCAGTGTGGAGCCAGGAGTTGGACTGGATGATCCTTGTGGATCCCTTCCAGCTCGGGATACTCTGTGATTCTGTAATTCTCTAAGATTGCACCCAAATGGAGGTTATGCAGAAAGACATGTTCTTTCCTGGCACTGGTAATGGGCTGGAAAAAGGGTGAATGGAGTGTTAATAATATCGAAACTGGCCATCACATGGCTGTCTTTGCAAAACTCATTGGTATGAAGTGCTCACTATTTCACTATTTTTTTTCACAGATGTCATTTAACTTCAGTTTTCTCCTGAATAATGTATCTCAAAAGTGAGACAAATCAAGGCATATCTCCTAAGTGTGTAAAGCTGAAGGAACATGGTTAGTGGGTGTGGTGGTGATGGGTTGATGATTGGACTAGATGATCTTAGTGGCCTTTTTCAGCCTTAATGATTCTATGATTCTATCAAAGCTTGGTGTACCTGAGCAAAGTTTGGTGTGTTAATGTTTAGGATAGCTGATTGGATTAAAGGCAGAGAGAAAATGAGGCTTCAATAGCTTTGGTCTTCAGATTTATTATTTTTTATTTGCTATAAATCAGAATAAAATGCAGAATAGGATTTCACTGAAAGTATCATTCTATGAGCTCTCTTTGCACTGAGGAGCTTTAAGCCATTCTAAATGTTGGGTTTTTTTTCCCTTTAAAATAGCTTTTCAACTGCTTCAATACACAGACACAAGTTTCAAATGCATTTCACTCACTCATTAAACAGAAGAAAAAAGACAACAAATGTCAAAGCGAAAATGTGCAGAGGATGGGGAGATGATTCAGCCTTACTAATAGCTATTTACCATGGCATTCACTTTATAAGTTGCAGATGTAATTTTTAGCAAAGCGGGATTGTTTCAGAGGGTTTGCATTTTCTCCTCCGTGCCATGGTTCCTCCACTGGGGGCAGGGGAATGGGACTGGATGATCTTGGATGTCCCTTCCAACCCAAGCCATTCTGTGATAAGCTTCTCTAAATGTCTGTTTGTTGGGGAAGGATGGCCATCAGCTCTATGCACAGCACTAAAACAGCAGAGCATGAGCTTCTCTGAAATAGGCATGCTGCAGCTGCCCAGTTATTGATTAACAGAAGCTTAATATTGCACATAGAAAATCTCAGATAAATATATACACTCCTGTTCAGCCTGGCATGTCCCTGCTGCACTGGGATGTCTGTAGGGGTGTGTGACTTCTGATTGTGCCCTGAAGGTGCTGGGGAAGGGTAAAGGATTCTTTATCTATTTCTAAGCAATTATTGCACTGTAGGAAGAGGATATATGACAACTATGCAAAGCCTACAATTTTGTCTTTACTTATGAGAAATTCCTGCACTGTATTCTGCTGTCTCCTGAACAGCAGCTGATAATGGGGTCTGTTCTGCAGCCCTGCAGAGCTTTAGCCCCAGGCAAGAAGAGTTCTGGGCCAGAAATATTGGAACTTGCATACCTACAGGGAAAAGTGCTCCCATTGATTTTTTTTTTTTTTCACTGAACTGCTATGAAGATCTTAAAATATCAGCAAACCTCTTCTGAAATCATCATCCCAGTCCAAGTAGCACACATACAATTGACAATTGTTCCAAAACCAAACAGAAAGGAATGGATGCAAAATCCTTGTTTCTTTGATGGCACTGCTCACAATTTGGAGTTGCTGGAGTTTTTAGGCTGCTGTGAGAAACCTGCAGTATCCAGCACTTGCCATGTGAAGGACTTCAGTGTAAGTTCAGACAGTGTTGGGCACATTTCAATCAATTATAGGAACTCAATCTTTATTTCCCAATTCCCAGTGGCTGCAGGTGAAGGAGACAACTGCAACCAAGGCAGAAGTTTTGCTGCCTTTGCTCGCTTTGCCTCAGCCTTCCCCACTGCTACTGCATGTGACGTTGGCTATTTTTATCCTCCATAAAGACGGTATCATCAACTCCCTCTGCTGCAGGAGAAGCTGTGATGGATAATTTAATAGCAAATGTTTAGATCGTTAGTGATGCAGGGAGGCTTTTTTAAAGTCAGAGGGAAGCTGAAGAGGCGAAGGCTGCACTGCACTTCTGAAATCTCAAGAAGGAAAATTACAACAAGGAAAACCGATGTAAAAAAACTCTTGCTAAGGGGTAAGATGCTGAAAGAGCATGGGGGCTTATGGGGTACAGAGAGGCTCAGTCCCTGGGCATGGGCAATGATGGTCACAGCCCTATGGACACAAAGTTGGTAAGGAGCAATCTCACTGCGTGGCTCACAGGAAGAGGGCTGTTCATCCATTACACCCCCACCCAACATCACCCAGAAAAACAGGCTGGCTGCTCATGCCACCAAACCACAAGGCAGCTATTCGGGTCAGCAATGAGGCAACCAAGACAAGCCAGAGGTTTGGCTGTCTTCAATTGCACCTGCTGCTGTTGGATGAAAAAAAAAAAGTACTCAACAGCTTTCTTCACTGGAGGAAAGATACAGCTCCTTTGAAGAATCTCTCTTAACATTAGGAATCACCTGTTTTTCTACCTTATTAAATCCCTCGTGTTGCTGGAGGAAGGGCACTCTTCCCTTGGAGCAAAACCCATGTTGTAACAGACATCATTATCCTTCATGTCTTCTGTTGACTGGAAGATAGCACCACGCTGAGCTGTGCACACAGGAAGGCTGTGTCCCTACAACTACAGCCATAGAATTCGCCTTGAGCAGGCACAGATGTGTTGTTATAAATACATCTGTATTGGGATAGCTACTCCTGAGCAGAAATGGAATAATTCTTCCAGTCTAAAACATGCATGCCAATTATACCAGTATAATCTATGCAGTAGGAGAGGTACTAATGTAACTTCATAAATTGGTTAAGGAGAAATTTACCAGCTACAGTGTTGAATACTAATTGGTAAAGAAATAAGCTGGGGTCTGTTGTTAAATCTCTCCTATGTAGCAGACACAGTAGGACCCATATGGATAGCAGTACCAACTGTCCTGTAACACCCTGACTCCTGGAAATGTCAATAAAATCCATGCCTTGGTAAAAATAATGATGGCAGCACAAAGCCTGAGCATAAGCCTATGTCCTGTGTGAGCAGCCATGCTGAAAGGAAGCAGGTTTGCATTTTCTCTCTGCAGGGAAAAGGTGAACCCCATGTCAAAACCCTTCTGGTTTTGAGATTTCAGTCATACCTGTCCTTGGCAGGGGTTTGGCTTCAGGAGGAGGCTGCAATTCCCTCTTCCTTGGTGGGACCAGCCTCAGGGCCAGGGCAGACTCACCCCCTTTCTCTTGGATGTGCTGAGGGATCAGTGAGACACAAACATTAGTGTTGAGTGGCAGCTTTCACACTCTTGCGTGAAGCACACTTTCAGCTTACATTTATATACATACCACAGTCTTGAGGAGTACAGGATTCAGCCTTTGCTAATATTTTGCTAGAGCCCAGCAACAGGCAACAGGCTGTTAGGTCTGGCAGGGCTCGTTTCAAAGACGTCTGGTCCCCAGAGGGGGCAGCTGACTTTCTCTCTTTCTTCATTTCATCCTGCCAGCTGTCTTCTCATTTCTGACTTTTAGACTTGTTTTTGTTCCTGGGCAGAAATATCTGTGCAGGGCAACGCTGAGCTGATTCAGTGGCAAGCTAAGTAATTTTTCAATGACATAATATCAGCCCATTTTAATCCCTGCAAACTGGATACATTTAATTTATTGGCAACATCAACAAAATAAATGGAAGAAGAGGTTAAAAGAAGACTTTCCATGTCCTTCCTGCTTTCCTAGGAAGAGCAGCTTTGGAAAGTGGACAGAGGATGAACAGATATGCTTTGCTCTGCATCTCCTTGGTGACTTTTCCAAGCTTGCAGAGATATTCCTCAGTACTTGTTATTTCTGTTCCTAGCTGAGCCACAGACATCACTATAAAGAGAAATATGCTACCATTTTCTGAGAGCTGCTGACGAAGTGAAGAAGAAGCCATGATGTGCAATCAAGCTTTGTGTTTCTTAAACCAACAGGGAATGCTATGATGACTCCAGTGGCTTTGGCAGTTCAACAACACCAAGTTTTTTCCCAGGATGAATGTAAACGAAAAAAAGCATTCTTTCTGGTTTAACACACCCCTCTGAGAGCCATCTCAGTCTCTGCTTCTCCAGGGTGCCAATCACAGTTGTGTGAGAAACTCTCCTCTTGCTTCCAGCTGCTTCTTGGTGGTGTGGGTGGAATTGCTGTTTTGTAGGTAAGGGTGCCCCAGGGCTCCATTTTGTGAATCACGCTACAACAGCCACCTCTTATCTGTCAATCAAAGAATTATCTGACAAGTCACTTTACAACCTACCATCTAGTACTTTACAATCTACTGTAGGGTAGACTTTTTGCCAAGATAGTTTGTGGTTTATTCTGAATAAATGCATGCTAATCTCATTTAATCTAGGATGTATGCAGTTCCCAAAACTTCCTGTCCTCTCCCTGTGCTCTGTTTACAAAAACTGCAGCTCTTCCTCCCGCTGCTTGGATGCCGACAGGGCTCTGGTATGCTCTGTGTGCATTTGTTGCATTCTTCTATCTTTTCTTTTCCTTCTTTAACTGAAAGTCAATACCAGCTTCTTCTCAAGGCAAAGGCAAGGCTGTGATGGATTTCAGCAGGTGAAAGGCTGGGCCTTTAGCTACTATGGTCACGTACCAGAAATGAGAACAGAA